CATTTTCATTATAGTGCAAAGCAGCGACCTGCAGCCTAAAATTTCACATATAAAACAATATATCTGTATATTATTTCTAAACATTTCTAAGAGATTAAATAACCCAAGTGAATTTTTGTTAAACCTTTAGGATTCATTACCTAGCCAGCATTCCTTTGAATGAGAAGCCCACACTTTTGGGAGAGAATCTGATGATCAGGCTATGGAATGCCTCGATGTGTGACGTGTGGTATTGTGGGCTTATTTTCACTACATCTTTCACAAAACGTGGTGCCAACAAAATACTGGTCAGCCTTTCACATGCTGCTGTGCCTACAAAGAAAACGACATATTGATATGTCAAATGTAAACGATTAATATAAAATTTGAGATTGAGTAAGGGAGGAGCAGTTGTAATTACACATACTTGGCTTTAGCCACACTCTTGCATCATCCCCAACCAAAGGCTCGTGAGTACAGCGAGGGAACAGGGGGTTTTTATGAATGTGAACATTCTGAACGTGGTTGCCTACAGATGTCCACTTAGCCACAGCCTCGTCACCTGAGGAGGAGGTTGATGCCGACCAATACAGATGGTTCACTACGCTTTTTTTCCATATCTTTACGTCCTCCGTTCCCCTTTTCTTCCCCAGCTCCTCCATTTTTTTCGATTCCTGGGACGCCCACCAAAGATAAAATTGTTTTTAAATGATGTACAAAATTAAAAACACACATTACAATTTACAATTACTGAAATACATACCCTTTCCCATGTGCCAAGGATCAAAGTAGTGACTGATATCCGGTCTTTGTTCCCGTAAAAACTTCTGGACGCCCGAGTGTCGGTCAGTCACAATTGCTTGCACTTCAACACCCCTCTCTTCAAGCATTGTCAGACTACGGACAAATCCCTCCTTCTCCATGCGAACACTGTTCCCCACTTCATTACTCTGTCAAGGCAAAAAGATTTATACTTCCAATCGACATGTTAGGAAGTAACTGGTTACGTTCAAATGACATCACTACATTATAAATATTCTTCAATGTAATTGTTGGGCAAATAATATTTCTATAGTAGTAACAGTTCACATTAAAGTATGTTGCGATGTTGTCATTTTTTATTTAAAGAAATCTCCAAACTGAAAAACAAATTGATTTGTAAATGATTATTCATAAACCTTCCAAAGAAACACATCATTTTGAATAGTGCCACAACTTTTGGCCACAATGTTGTGATGTCCTGTGAACGCAACATGTTGTGATGTGATTTACCTGAACAAGCTGAATGTCAATTACCCGGTTAGCTTTGAGATTCATCATTGTGTAGCTCCCGTATTTTGCAGAGTGTCCTACAATAAGACAATATACACTTAAGCCAACTTTTCACATCTGTCAGAAGCTTGTGGATAAAGAATTACCAGGTGAATCGGCTCGCATATCTCCACCCAGTGTCATAGCCCCACCAGCAACAGCCTCCATGACACGTTCATCCTGCTCAAGCTTCCACGGCCAATTGACTGTTGGGATGAGGAGCTTGGCTTGATGCCTATAAAAACACTGCTCAGACAGTCCCTGAACGTTGAAGGCCCCGAGGAACTATAAAACGTGAACACATGTCATCAACTGATAGATATAGAAACATGATAATAACAAAATAGTATTGCTCTACCTTTGAAACCTGACGAATAGATGAGCCAGTAAACAATACTGCTGCACAGAGCTGTAGGTTTCCAGCGGGAATGTTGTTCACCAGTGGCTGGCTGGACCACTGGTTGAAGTACTCACAATGAGTACACTGCTGCTTCACCCGGAGCAGTGTGCCGACTGTCACGGTGTCAATAATACAATGACGGGTGCAAACAGGACAGCTCCGGAATAGCCCCAGCAGTTGTTCCTCATAAACAATGTACTTATATTGTTTATGTGGAGGGACTTGTGTGGGAGTTCTATATTGCAAAAGAACAATCAATAAATATAGGCCTTGAAAGCTGAAAAATGTATATGATAACTTAAACAGAATACCAAAAAACTTAGGTAACATAATTTACAGATGCATCCATAAGTTAATTTATTTTTTACCCAGTACAGTTCAGGGAGCTTGCACTTCCATCCAGATGGTAGGTGGGGTAGGTGGTAGGTGCGAGGCTGACACCTCGCACCTTGGTCTTTTGACCGGTGTGGAGGTTGCCATGGGAGCTTCAGGAAACTGAACCTCTATCAAGGCCTCTGTATTGCAAGACATGGTCCTGCAATGAGGTTGTACCTGGATGGCTGTGTAAAAAACAAAAAGGTTAGTAAATGCACTAGGCAAGAGTTACAGCAAAACTATTCAATTAGCAAAAGCTCCCAACAATTATCACCTTTGCTTCTCCTGGCAGGTTTCAAATTGGCCTGGACAGATTCATGCACGCCAAGTAGTGCATCAGTCTGACAGCCAATTTCACGGGTTGATTTTGGCTAAAAACACAGTCAAACACAACATATGATCATAATTCATATTGTGTACGGTCAGGATAATACTCTCTAAACTTGAAAGTCAGCTTTCATTTAGTTTTAAAAATGCAGTTCTGCTAAATGACGTATGCTTCAGTTTTATCGCAGTGGAGTGTGGACAAGGAATAACAGATGATATACTATCTACTATTTGAACTAAAATTATGTAAGGGTAAAAAATATATGAATTTAAACTTGGATTGATGTACTTGTATTGATAACACGATTAGCAGAAACACGTCAGAAACACTGATATCTGTGAGCACCCTGGTCATCCCTCTCATCAATGACCTGCACCTGTCCAGTCAGTTTAGCCTCAGACACACAGTAAATTGTAGCTCTACGTTAGCTTGTAGATGCTCTCACGTTTCACGCAGCTATTGCTAAATATGAAACGTAGTCATCACAAAACAGATAAGTCTGGTGCGTATTCTCATGCACAGTTGCGCCGTGTCGGCGTAACTTTGTTATTGTTGTGCAGACTGACGCGTTAGCGCGTATATACACACTCACCCTCCATATTCAACAAACCACAATAACCAAAGAGGATTAGCTCACTATGCTGCTCCTACTACAAGCGTATTGCGCAGTGTGGCGATGGCAGCACCATTGCAGGAAGTAGCAATAGCGCACGTCAATTATTGGGCCTTGGTAGTGTGAGACTCGGAAGAGTAGTAGCGCAGGTATTACTTACTACAGGAGGATGCTAACTGCTCGATGCAGTAACAAATATAACAATTAAAAAAAAACACACATAGAAATTATTATATTTTACTTTTCAATCCCCAAATCAAAGCTGTAATCAAATATGTTGACACAACATAGCGAGCTTTATTTTTGCACTTTTACCTGCAGTGTGAATGCCGTTCCCGGTAGCCATGGCTGTTGGAGAGCCAGGGTGGGGAGAGCCAGGGTGGGGACTGCCTCTCTCTTCAAACACGGCTGCTTGGAGAAGCCCATTTCAAGCGCTAATGCGTTGGAGTAGGAATCCCGCGAAAAATGTTTGTCACAAACTCCGGGACGCAAAGGGAGTTCACCTTCGCCCTTGCCAATTGCGCGCAACCACTGGCGCCTAATTTCTAAGTCTACTGGAATACCATGTAAACCAGTAGAACTACTACAGCCCACTACAATACACTTCCTCCCCATACTTACTATTAACTATACAATACACTACACAAAACACTACACTAATACTACATAAACAATACAACTAAAGCTCAATGCTAACGGCTATGCTAAACGGAAACTATTCTAACACTAACAATAAAGCTAAAGACTAACTAACGCTATAAAACAACTAGGCCTACTACTAGGGATAAAACTATATTAAATGTAACTAATCTAACTGGCTAAGTATTAAACTAATAACGCAAACCTGATAATCGCTGTGAAAAAACTCGCTCGCTCTGATCCAACTCCAACTCCAACACGAGAGCCTCTAGGGGAGGGGTCAGCTTTTATACCACAGCGGCAGACTTGGTGACGTATGATGGTACTGTGACGTATGATGGTACCTCCTCTGCCAACCACTAAATTCAAATGTAGTAAGTGCTGTTCAAACGTGAGAGGCGCTGAACAGACGGTTTTGTACACAAAAATTGGATTTTGAACAAGTTTGCACTAAAATGTCAAAATAATGATAAGGACATGTAGACAACACTATTGGACACTCATTTATACAGTTTATCAGGAAAAAAAAGTGGATTTGAGGGTGAGTTGTTCTTTAAAGCAATAGTTTACAGACCAGAAAGTCTCATTCCACCCTTGTCCACACACTAAGATAATTGTAAAGCTACACACCTGAACCTAATCACACTCAATAATCTCAGAATGACTCATGTAATTTAATTTTAATCCACTAGATGGCGCCAGAATACTCCAAACTGCAGCTGGGGCGTGTGTGAGAGTTGAATGGGTTTATATCACTGGCTCTGACAGACTGACGTCACACAAAACAACTGATGTCATAGAGAACACAGAGTCAATGGAGAGGCCAGAACCAAATTCAAATGTAGTACCACCAAAAAGGTTGAGAGGGCACCACACAGCGTTTTTTGGCTCAAAAGTGATATTTTATCTAATTTGAACTAAAATGTCAAAAAAATGACCAGGATATGTAGACAGCACTACAATAAACATACTTATGCAGTTTATGAGTTAAAAAAAGTTGATTTGGTGTATAGTCGCTCTTTAAGCTAGCAAAAAATGATATTTGCAGTGCAATCTGACATTTTTCCTTTGTGTTTGTGCAACAGCCCCCCAGCAGACCACTTCCACATGGCGCTGACTCACTGTCCACCAGCTCCTCCGGTACCCTCCATCAGCTTCTCAAGAGGACCCTCCGTCGGCTCCTTGGGGGGACTGTCCACCAGCTCTTTGGGGGGGAATGACTGCTGAGTGGGTGGGTGGGTGAGCCTAGCCTCAACACCACAGCACTGTGGCTGCCAAGCCGAAGCAGTACAACCATCCCATCTCCGCCCCCCACGGCTTCGCTCAGGCCATCATGCTCTTCATTGAAGAGGAAGATGCCGGACGGACAGACATGGTGGATGCAAGAGCTGCATTATCTAGAAAAGCGTCTACTGGAAACCCAGGAACATCTCCGGGCCGCAGCCGACGACGGGGCACAGTTTGGTGCTCAAATGGCCGCTTTACTCCGAAGGGTGCCGAAGCAGAAGCAGCTTGGGCTGGTGAAGCTCTTCTTGGGCCGGGCATATGAAGAAGCTTTAGATTGTTGAAGAAGAAGCTTGAAGTTTAAATGTACATATGTTTTTGCACTTTTCCTGTGTTTTTTGCACCTTGTTTGATAATAACTTGCTTACACTTACACTTTCATTAAAAACTTTCCAACAAGAACTGTGTCATTATTCACAACATCACTGTTGAAACTGGTTATGAAACAAGTATTTATACACATATACATATATAACAAACAGGGAGGCGAAACGGGGGTAAAAAGTGCACAAAGTATATTTAATAATAACAAAAGACGAAGATGGACAAAAAAAAGGTATGAGGTGTGAGCATGTTGTAATCAGTGTGTGGTGCGAGTGCAATGAAAGCCAGTGTGTGGTGTGCAGTGGATGTGGTGCATAAAACAAAAGACAAACTCAAATGTACAAAAGACAAACTCAAATGTGCAAAAGAGGAATGAGCATGGTGGTTCTTGGCAGAGCCCACCAGGACAGGACGAATAGAGACAGCAGCACAGGAGAGAGTGATCAGCTCTCAGCTTCCAGTTGAAAAGGTCCACTGATGAGGGGCGTGGCATGGTGCAAGTGGATACCTGCACAGAAGAGGAGACGGCTGAGAAGGCAGGCAAACTCACACAGCACCCTGTCGGAAAGTAAGGGCCTGGCCTGTAACAACAAAATATATATATATATGTGTGTGTATGGGGGGCCTCCAGGCCGTTTTTTCCTGCAGTCACTCTTCGCCACTCACCCTCTTGTAGCTGTTCCACTGAGTCCACATCCGCAAATGAGGGTGTGATGTAGCGACAGGGTTCAGTGTTGCCGTCATCTGTGTAGGCGAGGTAGTTGTGCAGCACCACACGGGCCTTCACAATTGTTATGGATTTGTTTGGAAAGCATTCAAGGGGCCGTCCAAGGATTCGCTATCCCGTCGCCATAATCCAAAAGGTGTTCTCAATGATCCTCCTGCCCCTGCAATTACATAAGACAGTTATCACTACATGCAATGGTTATTTTTTCCAATACAAACCTCACATAAATTAACTTTCAACACTACTTTTGAAGCATACCATGTAAGAAGCAGCACATACAATACATGTAAATGATAAGAACCCACCAGGGTATGGCCGCATCAGATTGTTGTGTAGAGGGAAGGCGGCATCACCGACGAGGACGTGGGGCAACTGGACTGTTGTACCAGGAAGAATGGCGGGCGGGGGGAGGGTGGCCTCGTGGTTCAGCAGCATGGATCCAAAGACGCTCTTCCTGAACACTCCTCCGTCACTCTCTCGACCATATCCACCATAGTGTCCCTGTACCTTGCGTCGCACGTGGCCACCAGAACAATGGAATTGCTTCCCTTGTAATTGAAATAGCTGCTTCTAGCACGCGGGGTGGCATGAATGTTCACGTGTTTGCCATCCAAACTCCCAATACAATTTGGAAAGTTCCAAAGTCTCCAGAAATATGCAGCAATAGTCTGCCACTGAGCTACAGTCGGAGATGGCAGAAAATCTTCCGGCAGTGCCATCCACAATGCCTCACATGTCTCCTTCACAATCATGGAGGCTGTGCAACTAGCCATCTTGTGTCTAGCGGACAATGCCTTGGTCTAGCCAAGAACCTCAGAGTCACAGCCAATCGTTCGTGCAAGGTAATCGGATACCTGTGTGTGTTCTGGTGGAAAATATGGGGTCTCAGTCGATGTACCAAATCATCAAACTTACTTGCCGACATCCTGAAGTAGGCAAAATGCATCTGTTCGTCCATGTCTCGAAGCGGCTGAATCAGACTGGTATACTCCCCATTGATTGGCCGTTGTACATTCAGCGGTCGCACATACCATCTACGTCCGCGGCGTATACACCTGAAATACAAATTGTTGGTGAGTCGAAGAATTACTTCATCGATCGCCAACAGCTCTCGCAGTAGCACAACTTGTTTGGTCGCACAAGCCCCGGCGATCCAAGATGGCGCTGTATTCAAATGAATGGTTTGTGCTCAGTAGCGCTTTGTGCCGGCACTGTTGCTGACATATTAGTGGAACTCGCAAAGATCCATGGGAAACTTGCCTGTATTTGGGCATCGTCTGGTCCTCCCGGTTGGATGAACTCCCATGATGCGTTTTGCCAAATACGCGTGTGTGGCTGTCATGCACGCACACAGAGGGGCTTGGCCGCGCTCTGATCAATCAGGACTGCTCATCAGAGCGAGAGCCAGATGGGCAGAGTTTGTGGCACTACAGTGTAGATTTAAAGAAAACCAAAGGATTTAAGAAGAAAAAAAGTTCAGGATGACAAGGGACACTAAAATCCCCACAATATCCAACCTTTATGAGGGCTGTAGGTTTTCTGTTCTGAAGAGGAGGAAGTAGCTAGCGGAACTTTATAGCGGGACCCAGGCAAATCCTGTGAGATCGCCACCATGTGGTTGGGGGGTCGGATTACAACATATTTTCGGAATTGAGCACGGGGGGGGCTCTATGGGGGTTAACGTGCGAGTTTACCACCAATTGTGCTTGCGTAGGTCCACCGCAAGCCGCGTCGCAGTAGTGAACACGGGCCTTAACTACTGCCACAAAAGAACCAGCTACATGTTTTATATAAAAGCATCATCATGCTGATCAAGTTAGTGGACCTCTTGCCAATTTAGTTGGAGACCGCTGCTCTTCCCTATCTCTACCTATCTGCCTATCCATCCATCCATCCATCAATCATCAATCAACAAGAAGCTGTCACTTTGTTGGCATGACTGAGAGATGGCCAGTCACTCTCAGCCAGTCACACCACCCTGTGCGCTCAGCTGCTCCAGTGCTGTCAGATTTGTCACAACACAGGCCTTTTCAATTAAATAGTCAAAAGCCATTTGCCAGTGCCACACTCTTCATTCTCTCATAAAATTATCAGAAATAATCCTTGCACGCTTTGGACATACTGTATACTAGAGATTGGCACTGGGACAAATGTGTGGGGCAGCTGTGACAGGCAAGTTACAAAAACTGTAAACCTGAAGCTAAATCAAAAATGTTGCCCTAACAACAGATGCGTTATCTGAGTAAGTGTTGTCATGATATAACGACTACTCATAATTATCAGTTTCTTTCACTTTGTTCTTTATGTATCAATATTGTGTGAGACCAGCTTTATCAAGTTTACAGTTTTCTCGGAAATCAAACAAGAAACATAATGAAGCATAATGCGGCCACCATACTACCCTAAGAACATTGATCTATTGATTAGGGTCTCCTGTACTATAATTATTGTTATCGGTTCTGCAAAACTTCGTGCAGCCCTCGTGCTACTCTACATAGTGACGATTTGAGAATTTACACAAACCACTTTTAAATACCCTCACGAGAAGTGGCTCAAATGACATCATGGAAAGATTGTATCTCTAATAATTGTAATCTGCACTAGCTGCATGTATTATTGCATTATTCAGTACATGACATTGTCCAAGATAAGATTAGCCATAATGGCTGCTGAAACAGGCTTTGAAAGTCCATAATACCGTGGGACCTGAATTTTACACTGAATTTTACACACTTATACTGAAATAGAAGCACAATATTTCCTTCCCCCCACCATCATTGGGGCACATGTCAGCATCACTCTTTTTGATCTTCTGAGCAGCTCTTATTGATACAGAATGTAGAGATAAGTCACCTGGCGGAAAAAAAAACCCTATCTTTAACAGCACAGCCACCCATCACTCACGTCCTTTATCTACTGATATTTCTGTAACCACTGTCAGTCTTTTGCTGTCAACATAAATATTTGAGATATTTTTTTAAGCTGATGTTTACTCACTAATGTACAGTATAATTGAAAAAAAATAACTAACATGTATATGACATGGCTGAAACAGTTGGGAAGAGTAGACAATTTGTAATCTACTGTACTTCACTGTATTTCACCTTTAAATGATGCAAATAGAAAAAAACCTAGTTCCTTAGCAAAACATATAACGATTTCTTTTCATTTTCTGTTTCCTTTGTTTCATCAACCATGCCATGTGGACTATTGCTGACTTATTCCGCTCAAGAAAAAGTATGGTGGTAAGTGTGTGAGATTTCATAACACTTTGAAGAAACTATTGTTAAAGTTCTAACTTCATTCTTACATAATGCAGAAGCCTATACTTTTCCACTACTTGTTTTGACTATCTCTGCTGGCACTGTGGCAGCTGTTGATTGGAGGTCTCTGTTTCTCCTGAGTATATTACAACTTGCTATCGTAACATCCCTTGTTCGTGTGTTCGTGCTGTCTCTACCATTGACAATGAAACATGTCTTCTGTCTGAATGAAAGACACAATCCCAGACTTTGTCATCTTCTTCAAGTGGTTACAAGATGTTCCATCACAAATCTGTTGCTATAATGAACTAAAACCTTTTTTGTTTTTGTTGTAAAGGTCTGTATCCATCTGTATCAAACTGTTGTGATGAACAGGGAGCCAAAAGGCAAAGCTCGTTCATCTGCTGTATCTATGTTCCCACCCTCAGTTATGGTTGAGGATACAAGCGGCCTAATGAGTTTCCTCTTCAGATTGGCTTGTCATTCCCTTAAAGATAAGGTGAGGAACTCTGTCACACAGGTGGAGTGTCAGTTTTCAACGGCCTCTTGTTCTAAGTCCTGAACACTTATAAAGTTAGGGGGATCAAAGGAACACAACATAGGAAGCCCTTTTGACCTCCCCCATCTAAAGTCCGGAATCAACAATGGCGTTTTCACGTCTGCCCTCCGCAGACTTCTCTATCATCATCAAGGTGCCAGCCATGGTTTCTATTGAAAGATAAGTGTAATCCCCCGTGGTCATTCCCCGTCTCTCAACCTCCGCTGAGACAGAGTCGAGAGTAATCACCCCCTTTTGATAGGAAGGCGCAGGTAATCAGGGAGCAAAGACGAACTCTGACCAACGATACTACCGTCCCCTATGGCAAACAACAGGCGTACATCGAGACATTGAAAAAAAGCTCTACATGACTGAATGATAACTAAGATCATCTGCTAACGTTAAATGTGTGTATGCAAATCCGATGTAAGCACGGGTCCCGCTCCAAGGGACTGTTAATAAGCGGCTAGCGGATGGCCACTGGCGTTCTCACTTTTCCCCTAAGCTCTGACTTTTCTCATGCTTCTTCCCTGAGTAAGCTGGGAACTGAAACTTCTCCTGCTACTCACCTCCTGTGAGTCTGTGAACCTCACGCGGGGGCCTTCGTCAGGATAAGGACTTCCAACGCGCCACAGACCGGTTAAGTGCAGGCGCTGCACTCCCGAAACTTTGAACTGTGTCCTTTCCTTTCCGAATATTTGGATAAATAAATCACAGACTTAATGCACGCTTTTCGACTATGAGACGCTAACAAGTAACAGTAGAAACTTGTTTTAATTAAGCCCCATCGTCTGTTTAGACAGGTGTCCCGCTTTTTCAAGTTAAATCCTTCTTTCTCTTAAACTGTGTCTAATTAATTCATTCTAGAACATTCACACATCTATGAACGCAGCCTTAGCGCTGTTCCTTGTATAGTAAGTTATAAATCCCCTACATGTTAGTAACGTTAACCATTAACTAACTAAAACTTCTACTGTTAGTAGTAGATACTTACACAGAGTGAAACTATCAGGGAAGAAGAAGTTAAAGGATATGTCGTTCATTACCAAGTAAGCTACGGACACTGATAAAGATGTTTTTTCTACATACTCTTTCAATTAGATAACTACTTTTATACAACAGAAGAGCTTTTTGCTGTTTTAATAAACACCTATCTAAAGAATAAAACACAACAAATATGGAGAACACATGTATATACAATAATATACATATTTACACTTATAATTGATATGCAATGACTCAAAATGTATCTGGTGGTGAGATACCAAACCACCCTGTAGATAATGTCTTGAAATGTATTAGACAAAATACTATTCTCTTTTTTTGGGAAACCCATTGTTGAATATGTATTAATACAATCCTTAAGAATACATGACACTCATGTATAATCATCAGAAATGTTTGTGGAATAGTAATAAGCTCAGTGGATCATAGTTAAAATTCACCAAGTGCCGTTTGCTTCCTCTGTGCTTTTGTTTTGTATGAAAGAGAATTAAAGTCAACAGAAACAAACCCCAAAGCTTTCCAAACGGATCGATGCCAAAAGGTACAACAAGTTCAACAGGCTACCTCTCTGTTTTCAATCTTTGTATAATGCATACAGCCTTGTAACGCTGTCAGCCACTCTTTAGTCAGACTAAGTGGGCTGTAAACAACAATGGGATGAAAACAGATGCATTAAAGGATCTTGCTGAAGGGCAGGTTTTATCTGAGCTAACTTTTTCTAGTTCCCGTCAAGTCTTCAGTTCAGCTTTGCACACACACATACCCCGCTGCTTTGCCTATTACCCCATGCTATGGCTGTCCTCTGTAGCCTCCTCATTACTAGCTAGTCTCCTGCCATGCTTGTCTCTGAGTCAGGGCTGCACTCCTCTCTGGCCTCTGAGATCTACCTTCAAAAGCGCAATGACAGCACACATTGAATACTAAGGCCGAGTGTGATGCATGCAAATATATGCAGTGTAATTATTAGCCATTACTTTGTCCCTACAGGTCACAGTGAGTCACCCTCTGCCTTCAGTTAGACCGGGGAACAATGTTATGAGGCTGCGAGCAACTGGGAACATTTTGCCTCAAGTTAAAGGTCCCATATTACGCTTTTTGACTTATCTCTAGTTTAAACATGATTACAATGCTATTTGGCCTTCATACACGCCCAGAGTAGTTTTTTCATTGATTCCCTCAAGCTTTAGTTAGAGAGCAATCTTTCTATTTCATTCTCGAGAGGCACTGAAACGGCTCATTTCAAACTGTGACGTGCACCAATCCGTGACGTCAAAAGCCCGCCTCCAAGAGGTTATTAACAGCGGGGAGAAACTGAACCAGGGACTTTCTCAAAGCTGATCTGAAAACCCGGTGTTATTTCCAACATAAAGGACGCTAACAGCCTCAGTCTGTGAGTACAATGCAACTAACTCAGTGCATGTCACTGTGAACTAAATAATTAGGGTCTGATTCTGGATCGAGGACTAAGTGAAGGACAAATTGTTGGAAAAAGTTCATTCTCAGGTGTTACTATGTAACAGCTAAAGCTGTAGAGTTAGCTCTTGTTTACCTCAAACCGGGATGCTACGTCACTGTGCTGGCAGGGGGAGGCGGGCTCACAGGCAGAAGAGCACAGATCCAGGTGCTTCATATAAGGTAACATCACCGCTATGCATGAAATGGCTATAATTTGACACGTTTGTATGGTGTATGTATGACCCAAATTATTATCACACACATGCATCAAATGGACAGTGAAAAATGAAGAAAAACCAAATATGGCACCTTTAAGGTATGGCACTTTTAATGTGGTGCTCCAGAGGATACTGTGATCTGTCCATAATAATAATAATAATACATTGGTTTTATATAGCACTTTTCAGGACATTCACAAACACTTCACATGTCAATAATATTTTACTCCATACACGGTAGTGATAAACTACTACTGTAGCCATAGCTGCCCTGGGGCACACTGACAGAAGCGAGGCAACCAGCATGTGCCATCGATCCCCCACCATCAGCCATTCACATACTACACCAGAGTCCTTCTGGGCTATGTTGGTGAAGTATCTTGCCCAAGGACACAATGACAGTTAGTTTGACACTTTGTAATTCCAGATACCATAATTGCCTGAATATAAATCTTAATATGAAATATATTGTTCTGCAATAAATAAATACAATAAACAAAATATCCACAATTCAGGCAAATTAATCTCCAGGCAGGCAGGCATCTACTGTGGTGAAACTTTTAAATCATTTACAGAGACATTTTTTACATTTGATATCAGATAACAGCTGCTCACAGACAAGTTTATCTCTCTAACTTCAGGAATAAATTATTCTGTGTGTGGAGTTTGTATTGTTTTGGTGTAGCCAGGAAACTGCAGTGGAACAGGCCTAACCATTCACTGTATTGAAAACAAAACTGACTCGCAGATTGAGAGCCTGCAGTAACAGTATCATTCTGATTTCAGTTATTTTTGCTTGTCTATAAAGAAAAAACCCTTTTAATTTAATTTTATTTTTGGCATCAAATCAAGTCACACAAAAATTGCATATTGTTGCATCCCTACTCACCACAAGAGAAATGCATGTTAATTAAAAGTATTTTGAGGATTGTTTTGTGGGAAAATCTATGTTTTGTGGGACAATCTATGTTTTGCCGATACTTTAATCTGCGAGTATCACCTGGTGTTGTTCAAACTTGTAGTTGGAATTTTTCTGTAGTTGACTGCACAGAACCGGGTTTTTAAATTCCAAACCCCCTGGGTACATATAAGGATACAATGATATGCAATATAAATGATGATGTTATTATTTACAAATAATTGCAAGGTTCCTACACATTCTCCCTAAAATGCTTGGCCCTGACACATGTATCATAACCTCAATGATACATGATAATACGGATTCTTGTTTTCATTGCACCACTGCCTGACTCGGGCTCCGGCCTAATCATTCATTCTCTGACAAACTTTTTAATTGAATATATATTTAATGGATACAACATAATTTTTGGGGATCATACTTTATATTGTCAGTTTACATGAAACATAGAGAAATAAATCTGAGGGAAATTAATTCCATATAGAATATATCAAATGAACAATAAAGTTCATTTACAAAACACGAGTTTGAGTGTCTTTTGTTTTCTTTTGTCTTTCCACTTCAGGCTTTGGTCTCCTCACAGTATCAGACCTCTAAATGTACTCGGACAGAGTAGAAACAAATGTGAGAGAACACATTTTACCTAATTTTTATGTGTAGGCCCCATGTTTGAGTCTGCTGGTTTAGAACAAAAGAAAACACAAAAAGAGTAAATAGGAAGTAGGGCGGGGTGATATGGAGAAAAAAAAATCTCCATTTTGTTTTTTATATCCTGATATACAATACATAACTATATTATTTACAGGATAAATAACCCTCCAAAAACTACTGCAATTACAGTACAAAGGTACCAGTAAATAAGGTGTATTAAATTGTTTTATTAAACCTCAAAGAGGGACCACTAAAGGATACCAGAATGTGACATTCGTGTCACAATCTGGTAAAACACATTAATTTAATTCTTGGACTTTAAATAAGCTAAGTCTTAAGCACACACATATCCTATAACGTCAAGTGAACATTGAACAACAGTGTAGTGGAAGAAATCCTCCTCCTCCCTGAAACATCTGCCACTGCAATACAGATACACAAATCTGGTGTGGGCCGGGTGGGCCACCCCAGATCCAGCACACAGAGGAGCACCACATCCGCGACCTGGAGAGAGAGCACCACGACGCATGATACGAGCAGGGGCAGACATGGAGGGAGAAAGGGCAGGCTCCTTTTGTGGCACCGGCACCTGCCACAGCTGATCAGTGGCATGTACACAACAAATGGCGTTTAAAACGGCATGTGGACAACAAGTGGCGTTTAAAACGGCATGTGGGGAATAAATGGCGATTAAAAAGACATGTGGACAACAAGTGGCGTGTAAAGCGGCATGTGGACAACAAGTGGCGTTTAAAACGGCATGTGGACAACAAGTGGCGTGTGTAAAGCGGCATGTGGACAACAAGTGGCGTTTTAAAAACGGCATGTGGGGAATAAATGGCGTGGTAAAGCGGCATGTGGGCAATGAATGTTGTTTAAAAACGGCATGTGGACAACAAGTGGCGTTTAAAACGGCATGTGGGGAATAAATGGCGTGTAAAGCGGCATGAGGACAACAAGTGGCGTTTAAAACGGCAATGTGGGGAATAAATGGTGTGTAAAGCGGCATGTGGACAACAAGTGGCGTTTAAAACGGCATGTGGGCAACAAATACAGTTGAAAGCAGCCTGTACAAAAGACAACAAGCAGCATTAGTGGAGCTAGTGGTCCAGTGGCTCAGATGGAAAAGCACAGGACTACGGTGTTGATGGTTGCTAGTTCAAATCCCCAGTGACTACCAATGACATTTGCTGATGTTGGGTCCTTAGGCCTAACACTTCATGAAGAATGTCAGAAGTGCCATAAATTGTTTGAAAAATTTTGTATGAGTAATAATAATATGTGTTATTGCATAAATTTGTTGAAAGACATTCATGTAGTATATATAGTTTAAATTCCACATGAGCTGTGTCATCCAGTAGCGCACTTGGTTTGTAACTGCCTTTCATGCGGAAGATACCTGGTTCAAATCCAGGACAGGTCGTTATTTTTTCTTTGTCAGATTAAATACAAATTTAATATGTATGACATTTTATATACAATAAAATTAATATTATAAATATATATATATATATATATATATATATATAAAATTGTCCACTCACCTTTGCCCTCCGCGGGCGGTTACCCTCTAAAGCCGGTCCTCTACCAGAGGCCAGGGAGCATTGAGAGTTCTTCCATATCTTGCTGTTCCTACACTGCACATTTCTGGACCGAATGTCCGAGGTTGTCCGGGATCCCTTAACCACTCATCTACTTCGGGTTACTGCCCCGAGTGCACCGATCACCACGGGCACTACTGTCACCTTTACCCTCCAGGCCCTCTCCAGCTCAGAAATGAAGATTTTAACAATATAGAGATGAAACCTCATGTTCCAATTACACAACTTTCTGCTTGTATTTTTCAATCACAGTCACTCGTCCAGCTTCACCATCTTTGGTTGGCTCCATTCTTGATGAAATGTCCTAAAACAACAATAGAATCTTTCGGTTTTTTCTTTGCCAAAACACAAAATAAGTGGCGCAGTCATTAAACATTCGTCTATAGTGCGTGAGATTGGGCAGATCGAATCAATAAACCGTTTTTTTTTTAATGGCAGTTATATTAAAACTGTATATATATATAAAATAGATATATTTATAGATAAATATATGTATAAAGAAATAACCGTCATACATTTTTTTTTGATCTTGCCTGGATTTGAATCTGCGAACTCTTGCATGATTGGCGGACACACACCAACTATACCACTCACCAGGTGGTTTTAAAGACCTTATGACGGGTTTTTAAAAAAAAAAATAGTGGATATCAAAATTGCATGACAATGTCAATTTGAAAGAGATTCCGGCAAAAAATATCCTACATTTTATAAAAAGAACGTGTTTTTCATGAATTTAAGTTGTCTATGCTCTAACCTGTGTGTGACGTCATAGCGGGTTACGCCCATGCATTGAAAACCATGGATCTATGCCACAGGACTGCCTTTTCTCTCTTCTCTCCACTGATGCCCAACACAATACTGCCCTCTACAGGTGACAATTGCTCACTACACATGAATTGCCGTTTTGAGTGTGAAAAAGCGTCTGAGGTGGGATTTGATCCCAAGTATCTGGATTGGCAGTCAATCGGCACAACCACTGGACTATCTTAGTGACAACGAATTGCTACTTTCTAGTAGTTATCTTACACTCGCTGTACACGGCCTTGTCATCTTGAATATCCGCGAAAAAAGTTATGGCACTTCTGACATTCTCCATGAAGTGTTATGCCCAAGGACCCAACATCTTCAAATGTCATTGGTAGTCACTGGGGATTTGAACTAGCAACCATCAACACCGTAGACCTGTGCTTTTCCATCTGAGCCACTGGACCACTATCTCTAATACTGCTGCTTGTTGTATTTTGTACAGGCTGCTTTCAACTGTATTTGTTTTACACGCTATTTATTCCCCACATGCCGTTTTAAACGCCATTTATTTCCCACATGCCGTATTAAATGCCATTTATTGTCCACATGCCGTTTTAAACGCCATTTATTGCCCACATGCCGTTTTAAATGCCATTTATTGTCCACATGCCGTTTTAAACGCCATTTATTGCCCACATGCCGTTTAAAACGCCACTTGTTGTCCACATGCCGTTTACACGCCACTTGTTGTCCACATGCCGTTTTAAACGCCATTTGTTGTGTACATGCCAGTAATCAGCTGTGGCAGGTGCCGGTGCCACAACAGGAGCCTGCCCTTACTGCATGGAGGTCTGCCTGGCCTGTAAGTATGGGCATGTGGTGTAGTGGTGCTCGTGGAAGGCCTACGGCCCTAGGGTCGCGGATGCGTGGGTCTCTGGTGTGTTTAGTGCAGGTGGGCCCGGCAGAAGCGGCAGGAGTCTGAGGCCCCGGGAGAGACGCGACGGAGGCCCCGGGAGAGACTCGGCGGAGGCCCCGGGAGAGACGCGGCGGAGGCCCCGGGAGAGACTCGGCGGAGGCCCCGGGAGAGACGCGGCGGAGGCCCCGGGAGAGACGCGGCGGAGGCCCCGGGAGAGACTCGGCGGAGGCCCCGGGAGAGACGCGGCGGAGGCCCCGGGAGACTCACGGTGGAGGCGAACCCCCTCCCCAGAGATTGAAAGGCGCAGGTGTTCTCTGTTAGCAGGGACTGCTAAGATTAAAGCAGGGGGGAGTGTCAGGGGGTGCAAAATGGGTGGTGGGTTTTAATATGGTTTTATTCATATTTTATGCATGTTGTGTTTGTGTGTTTTTAATATTGATTTTTAACTGGCACCACCTGAAGCACCCCGGCTCCCCACGAGAGCAATCAAGACACCTGCGCCTTGAGAATAAAAGACTGAGATTGGGGGGGGGGGGGGGGGGGGGCAGACAGACAGACAGACACAGAGAGAGGAAGAGAGGAGGGCAGAGCCGGTCCAGAGGAGGAGGACATGGGACCGGGCCAAGGAAGAGCACCGCCAGCCAGAGACCACGGGGCACTGAGGCCAGCGGGGAGAGCGGCACCGGTGAGGCGCGCATTGATAGCGCATTGGCGCGTGCGCGCCCGGGCTAGGCCCAACGACCGGGATGTGCCGGCTCTCCCCCGCGGGTGCCCGGTGGCGACCCGTGGTCGGCGAGCGGCTGGCGGGACTGCGGCCCGGTCCCGGGACTGAGAACGAGACACGGGAGCCAGACACGGGAGGGGAGAGCCCTGTGGTCTGGCGGCCCAGGCCGTGGGAAAGTATTTTAGCCTGCGTTTTAGCCTCCGTTTTAGCCTGTTTTAGCTTAGGTTTTTATTGCTTTCATTTACTTGTTTTTAATGTATTTTATAATAAATTGCTTTTAATTCGCTTTTAATCCAGTGGTCCTTTTTAAATCCGGGTCCGAAAAACCTGTTTTTTACCCCTGTGACACAAAGGCAAGAAAAACACTTTTCTCTCAGACAAATACATGCAGATAGAAGAGGAGGGACACAGAGAAGACACTGGAGATTCCAGAGTGAAAGTCTAATCAGAGATGGCAAAACCTGTACAGTTTAATTTGTACATTTATAGTATATTGTTTAAAACAATGACTGATCAGTATGTATTGATGTATTGGTGTCTCTTACATGAGAACAGATTATTCCTCCAAACTATCTAATCCAGTCCTCATTTCATGAATTGTAAAAAATTGCTCTAAAATCACTGGATAAAAACATTGAGACCTGTACTCTTTGTAGGAGGAACAGATGCTGAGGAAAGACAAGGATGTTTTGTTCGGTATAAGACCAGATACTTTTGTTTGAAGACAGACACTCCATTTCTCTCAAACTCAACATCGGGGAGAGTTGAGGCTTCTCTCCTGGTGGAGTTGGTGTTAGCGTGTTAGCTGGTGCCACCGCCAAGGCGTTTTTGACGCTTGTCATGTGAAAGCCCGAGAGCCACTTGGAACAAGCCAAAGAGCCGTGGGTTGGCCTACCCTGCACTAGTTTATCTTTTGCAACAGGCCCTCTGGAAATGTACACATCACATCACATTGAGAGGCCAGACATTGACATATAATACTAAACGAGGACCCACTGGCTTAATAAACATCTCTTAACCTGTTTTCCGGTGCCTGAAATGTTATTGCTAAATTTATATCAATTCGTTTTCAAATGTTCCAAAAAATTACAGTTCTACATCGTTTACAGCAGCACGCACTTCCCTGCCTTTCAAACCATTACTGTCACAGTGTGCCTCAACGTCTTCAGTAATACCAGAGGACGCCTCATATAAACGGTACAGATCTCTGGACATTTATAACTCCTAATCACCGCAGTGACGTCAAATGGATGTTTTTTTTATTGCGCCAGAGAAAGTCTAAAGCTGTGTTTGTTCTGTGCTGGCATCGCATTAGTGGAGTTTGTGGTTAAACGTAGCCAGAGGATGAATCGTGGAGCGGCTGATGAGCTCCATATTGTCTGCTGTAATTATTGCTCATGGCTGTTACTTTCCCCCGGAGTTAAGAGGCTCTTTGACAGCACTGCTTGCAGCGCCGTCCTGCCACGCAAACGCTCGCACAATTTAATTAGCATCATCGCTGACGTATAGTATTTCGACTGCGGTAGAATTTGTTACCTAAACCAACCTCAGCTTTGGTTTGGTTCTTCATCCAGTTAAAAATAATGTTAAAAAGATATTATGTAAGATATTATTCCTTTTTCCTTTTATTTTTATTTATTTACTTATTTTTTCAATTAGTTGTTTTTTTTTTAAATCTTTTTTGTTGTAACTTAAGACACATTTCATATGGGTGTTTTAAAAAAAATGTGTATATGCACTTAATTGTAGCAAACATACTGTATGTAAAAAATATAATTCTTTACAAAGTCTGTACATTCACCGTGCAAAATGAAACACAATAAATAAAAAGATTTTCAGAGAGGATATTTGATTGCATTTTTAGCATGATTGAATGCGTGAGAATGTAAGTTTGCTATTATATGAATTTTAATTGTTCTCTGGATCAAGTGCACACGTACAGGAGAGCAGTGCATTGGATTGAACCTTTTGGGAAATGTTTGCATTGTTAATATACATCTTCATAAATAAATATCGTACTCCACAAAAAAAATTCTATGAAGGTTCACTGCATGAATTATAAGTCCCACGTTTTTCTTCATTTAAGCAAGTTATGTAAGCCAATTCAAAGTGCTTTAGAATCTGAATAAAAAATCTCATAAAAACTAGAAAGAAACCTCTGCTTAGAGTTTCATTCCGTAAAAGAAAATAAGTGAGGATAACCTTATAAATTGAATCACTGGGAAACAGAGCACGTTTTTTGAATATCTTGTGAAAAACTTCCCATGGCTTTTAAATGTTTTGAAACTGAAATTTATGTCACTGATTTTTGCGTTTGGGTGCCGCTCCGTGCAATTATTGTCTGACATTAAACCGGTCGGTGACACTAAAAAGGTTGGAGATCGCTGCTCTACACTTTTCAATAGACTTTATAGAGACATCAGCGGCTGCCGCGCTTTTGTGTGGTCCTCTTTCTATCTGTTTTATTCATTTTATTGTTTTTTGTTTTATTTTTAAATCGGATGACCAGTATTTTATTGTTTGTATTACATTTTTATTGTTAACTATTTTATTGTTTTTATTATTACTACATTTGTATTGTTTTTACTTTGTGCATAATGTTTTACTTTTTACTTACTATTTTTTCAAACATAAGGTTGACAAACCTGCACGTTTAAATGTGTTTTTTATCTCTGTGCAACACTTTGGAAACTTGTTTTATAAAATCCGTCCATCCATTTTCTTCCCCTTAATCCATTTCTGGGTCGGGGGGGTGGCAGTCAGAGCTGCACCCAGTCACTTAGCACCAGCCCCTCACTGATCCTCCTGCAGGTGGTGAGTCCACAGGAGCTGAGATCTTTCAGTGGGGGCTTCAGGCAAATTGGGGTTAAGTGTCTTGCCCAAGGACACAACGACAGCAGTCATCAGTGGGAGTCGTGAAGTAGGTCTTTTGGTGGGCTCGAACCCACATTTTATAAAATGTGATATATTAATAAAGTGGATTGTATAAAAACAAAAAAAATGCTTTTTATATGGGCTTGACGCCAATATTTTTACTATCGCTTCACAGTTATGGTTACTTTAGTATATGATTGAAAATAAAATCTTTTTGTTTTTGCTTTTAAAACTGACAAAATGGGAAAAAGGTTTTATAGTACTTTCAAGAGGCACTGAATATCTGTCAAAAAATGAACGGAACAAACACCCATGCATGTCTTTTGTCACCTTTGTTAATCTAGGCACAGTATATTATTTTATGGTTATAGTACTGAGCTAGTTCTGTGGTTTAAATATTTCTAAAGTAAAGTCACATTGTATGATTCGATGGTTTTATTTTAACAGACAAGGATGTTCTGCTCTTCCCTCCAGCTTTCTGTTAATAAGCGGCGCTGAGTCATATGCCATGTCCTGTGGTGCATAATAATGTGTGGGATTACATATTGTCAGACGAGTAATTATTCTAAGTTTAAGTGGAATGCATTCTAAAGGCTGAGTGCTGTTCCATTGTGTTGGAGTAGTGAGAGTAACAAACAAGGAGGAGTGGTGCTGGCCTGTCACGACGCAAGTTCATGACCCACCGCCAGGAAAATATTGACGGCTACAGGCACCAGACATCTTCAGACAATATATTAAGACCCTGAGATATTGTGCAGTGAGCAGCAGCAAAAAAAGGTATAATCCTAATCCTACTAAATTCTTACCAAAATAAATGGTTTTACTCACTCGTACAATTAGGGTCAAATTATTATTATGTGTCGGATGTGGAAAAAACAGTTCTTAACCTGGGTTTAAAAGGAAACCACTGGACGTAAAAGCAAGTTGAAAACAATTTATTATAAATACATTCAAAAACACAGGCTAAAAGCTAAAAGAGAGACTAAAATGGTCTAAAAACCTCTCTTGGCCACGGCTTGGAGCCCCCAGATCACAGAGCTTTCCCCTCGCGTTCTGGCCCCGTGTCTCACTCTCCAGCTCCCTCCTCCTTCCCCCTCCCCATCTCCACTTTTATGCTCAAGGCGCAGGTGTCTTGATTGTCCAGTCACATGGGGAGCCGGGTGCTTCGGGTGGTGCAAGTCATTAAAACCTTAAAAATGTATTGTTTTCAGTTTGCATTCATTCTTTTTGGGCGACAGTGGCTCAGTTGGTACAGCATTGGCCTTTGAGCCACAAGACATACTTCACGAGTCCCACTGCCTTCGTTGTGATCTTCCACATGATCTCTGTCAGCTCTAGTCCCTGCCAGCTTTCCTCCGCGCCTCACTTTACGTGTCTCTACCATGGATCTATTACAATAACTGGATAGGGTATTACTAGCTTGGAGCTGAAGGACCCATGTCCTCGGGGGATTCTTGCAGTACTGCAGACTAAACGAGACAACATTTACGTGGGGTACCCAGTAATTTTCTCCATAGAACTCAATGTAAATTAAAACAGCTCAACCTCAGCTGACAGAGAACCTACAGCTTTCATAAAGATCGGATTTTGTGGGATTTTAGTGTCCCTTGTCATCCTGAACTTTTTTTCTTCTTAAATCCTCCGGTTTTCTTTAAATCCACACTTCCAAAAGACTAACTAAGGGAGGAAAGCCTCCGCGA